CGAAATAAACTTCTTACAAATGACCAGGCGCCTGTCCACCCCTCCTTAAGACCCATTTTCCCCTCCTGGGACTCGGTCTCCTTCCATCCTCAAGGAGATATTTGTACCCCTCTCCTCCTTGGCCCCGTGGTCGTGGACTCTTGGGGCCCTGGGCAGGGGTCTCCCCTCCCTGGCCTCAGTCTTCCTATCTCTAGTGAGGCAAGCGCGCTGCTCCCCGCCTCCCCCTGCCTCTCCATCTGGTTCCTTGCTGCTCCCAGCCGGTCCCGGGGGCCGGGGTTGGGGTCAGCACCCGGGCTCGCTCGGCTGCGCGCCGGGCCTCGGTGCCCTCGCTGAGCCGGCTCATCTGGCTGCAACCAGGGCGCCGGCAGCTGGTGACCGGCTCGTCGGGCGCGGGGCCGACAGATGGGCTCCGAGGCTGCTCCCCACAACAGCACCTCCGCCCTGCGCCCCGGCCGCGCTTCGGCTCCGGCCGCTCGCGGGCGCCCAGGCGGCTGCGGGGCCTGCGCCGGGAGGACCCGATGAACCTTGGCTGGGAACCTGACGCCACAGCGGGGACGCTCCCCCTCCCCCCATCGTCTCCCTTCCCCTTTATCCCGGGAGGACGGTGCAGACACAGGCCGGGCCTGTGGCTCCGGGGTCTCAGGGGAGGGGGTTTAACTCTCCAGCCAGACCCGGGGCCTCCGGTTCAGGTTCAAAGGGCCAAAGTCACCACCTCCTGAGGCTGTTCCCTCCCTGGGGAGGTGGCGCAGGTGCTGCTCTCCCACACACCACCTGCAGCTCAGACTCCCAAGGACAGAAGACAGGCCCAGGGCGGGGAAGTTCGGCGGGGCTCAACAAACTGAGCCCCGCGGTTTGGTGGCAGGATTGCTCTGGGAGAGGTCTGCCCGGTGGAAGAGAGTTGGGGGGCATGTTTGAACAATACTGCCCCCCTCCAGCACCCTCACATCTCACCTTTTCTCTCTGGGGATGCTGAGGGTATTATTCTAATTTTGCAAAATGCACAGCAGCTAATTAAGTCAAGGAGCCCCTCGGCTTTCGAGGTCTTTTGCATGTGAATGGGGGTTGGTAAATCCCCAGCTCTGGCTGGGGTGGGGGTGAGGGGGGACTGTCCCCAACTCAGGGTTAATGAAGTGGGAAAGGAGTCTCTCAGAGCCTCCTGCAAACAAAACCCCCCATGCAACAAACCCTGCCCAAATCCTACATGGATTGACTTAAACCCAGGGGATAAGTGCTTTAAATTAATCTCATTGAATAAGAATGAGACCAAACAAAACTCTTTAAAATCATATTAAAAATCTATCAAAGGACAACTTGCACTGGTGTGCTTTTCATTTTGTGACAGAGAAGGAGGCAGACTAGAGCAACCACCCTTACATTTACACAGCGGCAGTGTAAACCGCTGACACCTTCTCGGCTGTGTAATTGTCCTTGTACCTCAGAGGCGACTTCATATCTTACATTAATGAAGAACAAGGCATCCCGACAAGTTTCTAATTACAATATTTTAAATTGTCCTGCACTTCCCATCTGTAATAACTTTACCACCTTTGCGGTGAGGTGGGCTTCCGTGCTCATCTATTTAGAAGGCTAAATTGGATTCCTGATTCCCAGCTCAGGGGCTGGCTGGAGTCTCATTTAAAATAGAAAAAAAACACAAAAACCGTGAGACCCCCCAGCAGGCAGAACAATAGGAGCGGCACTGGGAAGGCGGCTTCCGCTCCTCGGCCCCTCCCCCTCACAAACGCAGACTCAACAGGGTGGGGGCCCCAGTGAGGAAAAGTTTCCATTCCCTTGGAGCCTTGTCGCAGGGTTGAGAAGTTGAGCTGGTTTTAAGGGGGCCCCACTGGCCCCCGCACTGAAAGGTTTTGCTCTGAATTCACCCTGTGGGCAGCACATGAAGAGGTGTGAACGGGCGTGCAGGCAACTGAGCGGGACCAGTGAAGCACCCTTTTTAAGCAGGGCCACTTTTCCAGTGGAAAAAGTCTTCAATTTCTGTCCCCTGGAAGCGGCAGCTGGATTTTGATGGTTTCCATTGACTTTATGTTGAGGGGCCCAAGTGCTAAACAGCAAGGCCACTAGCGGCTTGGAACGGACCTGCCTTAAGGGGTTCTCATCTACCGCCCCCGCTTCCCAAATCTCGTCTCTCTTCACTACACGGGGGCGGGAAATCAAAGGGACCCACTGGGCTTTGTGAGACGCCTTTCGCTGGGATCCGGTCGGCCCTGTGCGGCTGTGTGGAAGATGCCGTTTGCACTGCATCGACACTGACTTAATCCGCCACCGAGGGCTCTTTGCCCTTCGGTGCGTGAGAACCGGGGCCCCTCTGAAGATGCGCATCCGCCAAGGCTTGCAGACAGGAAGATGTCTGGCATTCGAAAAGGCACTCTACAGGCCCACGCGCGAAAAAACTTTAGGCTGCAGCAGTCCGTGGAATGTCCAAATTCTCAGACTTTAACTATGGGGATCAGGCTTAGGATAAGGGAATAGGTAAGTTTGGGAAATCAGGGGGAAAAAAAAAAGCATGATTGAAAATACACACAAAATTAGAATATGTGCAGTGGAATTAGGCTAAAGCTTTGCCTAATTGATGCCTGAAATGTATAATCTGTCAAGAGCCATCATAGGAAAGAGATTTATTTTAAGGTTATTTAAATTTAGATAATATTAACCCTAAATCTGCTAAATCCGTGTTTTTTATTAACTGGGGGTAATATATTGGTTCTACTATGACAAGAAACCTTCACCCAAGTGTTAGCAAATTGAGTTGAGTTTTGATCTCAGAACCCCAGTCACTTACACTTTGCAGAATTCCAGCACGTCTCCCCCCAGGAATGCAGAACTCTACAGATTCGCCCTTTCGTGGGAAAAAAGTAGGGTTTCTCTTTGATCATCCGGTTGCTGGCATTAATCCTGTTTCGCACACAGCTGGGTTTTGTCTATATAGTTTGATCCCTCCTTTTCTCATCCAAATCATGTGAACCGCCGTACATCAAAATAAAAGAAAAGTGGCAGATTTGCCCCAAATCAGCATGACATGTGCTGCAGGTTTTATTATGATTATTACTACAAATTTCGCCAACGATTGCTAGTAGTTCGCATGTGACAGCCGACTCTGGGAGGCGAGGTGTTGGCACGCTCACGCTGGCCCTCACCCAGGAGCCCTTCCTGGTGTGGGCGTCCCACATGCGTTTGCCAGGTAGAGAAAGCGGCGAGGATGCTGACCCCTCCGTGGTCCCCACGGAATGGCCCACCTTGCAGCTCTCAGGATCCCTTCCCGGTCACTTAGCCCATGTGGGTCTGGAGAGCCTACTGAAGTGGGGCCTCCACACCCACCCAGGGGTCAGAGGAGGAAGACGGGGCACTGGGAGCAGGGGGCAAGTAGAGGGCAGGCCGCAGCGGGACAGAGGTGCTGTGGCTTTCCCCGCCCCCTCCCCCCACCTCCCCGCACCCTCTGCGGTCACCCGTGTCCAAATCTTACATTTATTGGGAAATCAATACGCCCTGGGGGTCCCTTTCAAACTTCCCAGGAAACACAATGGGGGCGGGGCAGCTGTGGCCTGGGCCACAGTACAAAGACCTCAGGCCTTTCTTGGAGGGGACCGGATTCCATGAGAGAAAAAGCTCAGGACACTGGAGCCTTTGACTTCAAAGGCGAATGATAAAACGGCGACAGCAAGTCAATTAGTCCTGAGCATCAGTTTTCCGTGGATGTGGGGGGCACCAGCAATGCCTGCGCATGTGGTCTGGAGGTGGGGGCAGCCCGGACGGGAACCAGGAGGGCTGACCGCGGGGACTCACACCCGAACCCCTTCCATCCTCTCTCACGAGCATTTAGACATCGAGAAGGTGATCTGATAAATATTTTCTTCTTTGACAAATTGAAGTCCGGAGTTTGATATCTTACTTTACAAAATTCACGCCCATATGGGCGCTGATGGGGCGGGAGAAAGGAACACAGACATTTCTTCAGATCGTGTCACCAGGCAGGTCGCAGCCTCTCCTGGCTGACGTAAGGACAAGGCTTAGGCACTAAGTCGTGGGGGCACCATCTGATCTACGGGTGAAGCAGGTGTGGGCGCTGACAGAATGAACACAAGATGTGAGGTGTCTGCTGTAAGACACAGGCTAACCACTGACTCCCTGCCCCGCTGACCCCTCCCCGTGGGAGACGGGGCCGTGGCCGCTCTGTGGCAGGGACGCCCGTCATCAGGGACAGGTGGCACTGGTACGTGTCCCAAGGCTCCTCTGAAAAGAGAGCGGGACATCGATCCAGTGCCACCAGGGCCACAGGCCCGGTCCTGGGGAGGAAGAGTTTAGAGCAACTTTCTGGGGAGTCTCGTCCCTCGTAAGCCTTTCTGGGTTTCTCTCCTTCACGGAGAGCGTTTTTTCTTTTGCTTTTTCCCACGGCCCAGGCCGGGCTCGGGTCTCGGACGTGCCGCTCGGCCGGCTGCCTGGTCGGCCTGTTTGCTCTGCTTTCTGACCTTGGCCATGCCAGCCTCCATCCCGCTTGCGTATTCGGAACGCAAGATTTCAGCAAGGCGCTGCTTACTCTGGGTCTTCTTCCGAAGGTCAGGCCTGAAGAACAGTAACAGCAGAGAGAAAAGAAACTTCGTTATTATTTTCTTTCCCATTTGGAAAGCGGCTGATGGCAGCTGGTTCCGAGGCTGCAGAAGTGACATCTTTGTATTAACGGAAGTACAGTCCCTTCAATAGTGCCTGTTCTGATGTTCTGTGCACCAGAAGATTAGATACGGCACTGACAGATTTTCATAATGGTGGCAAAATATCACGGCATTTTTTAAAGAGAGGCTTTGTTCTGTGTTGTTTTCATGGGGAAAAAACCTAACGATACACACTCATACTCCGATGGCAAACGCGGTGTATGATACAGCAGTTTGCCAAAGGCTGGGGAAAAAACCTGCCTTGCAACCCTCCCACATCCAGCAGCAAAGCACTTAGCAGGTCCCCATCAGCACAGTAGGCCCTGCAGTTCAAAGCACTGGGCCACCTCCTGGGGACTGGGCAGTGGCCTGCCAGACAGGGGCCACACGGTGAGGGCTGGGGCTTCAGTCACAGACACCTGTCCACTGACTGAGGAGACTCGTAATATTCCCGACCCCATCAAACCCGGGGTGGCCCCAGAGCCAGCCTGCTCTCCAGCCCTGGACCTGGGGTGACAGGGAGGTCTCTGCCCGCCTCATCCACACGGAAAACGCCACAGGCTGAAAGTCAATGTCAGATGTTGAGTATGACACTGAAGGCACACCTCGGAGGGATTCTGGCTTTGGCTCCAGGCCGCGGCAATACAGGGGGTCAGAGTCTTTTTGCTGGTGGAGGGTCCTGCCTTCAGTGTGTGAAGCGCCATTAAGCGGGGAGCAGTAAAACGAGGTCTGCCCGCGGTTGCTTTCGAAAGACCTCGCCATGTGATCGAAAGATCAGAGGGGGAGATCTGTAGTTCGATCGTACCCAGAAAAACGACTGGAGAATTGAAGAGTAAAATAATGTTTCATGAGACAGGAGTTTAGCGCCAACCGCACCGCCACCATCAGCACCGGACCCGAGCTGCCAAGTTGGCAGGTCCTCAGCACCCAAACGGCAGTCCTCGGGAGAGCCTGCTTCTTGGAGTTTTTACGGACGGCAGACTTCTGACTCCGACACCACTTTCTTTGCGGTGATAATCAGAGGACAAACTGGACTAAACTTGTGGTCAAAATAAAGATAACAGAACTCCTTTAACCTCCCCGCCCCCAAATTAAAACAGGGCTGGCACTGTGCTAGTAAGCTGACGTTGGGGATGCTGTGACAGCATTATAACCGGCTCAAAGCAACCACGCTGAGCTAAAGCCACACTCTAGAGAGCAGGCTTCACGCACGGCACAGCTGAACCTTGTTAGTCAGACGGTGGCTCTCCACGGAGACACACAGGGACCAGACGCAAAGTCAGCCTCTGGCGGGAAAGACCGAGAACAATTAGGATCCGATGCTGAAGGGCTAGTTTATGACGAGGGTGCGTGTGTGTGTCGGGCCCGACTTACTGAGGTCAGAAACACACCGGGAAGCACGTCCGGGGTCGTGCTGGCTCACGCAATCTTTGTTCGGGGTGGGGGGGGGGTGGTGGATAAGGCGATCACCTTTGTTTTACAAAGAAACAAGGACTCAGGCGGGTGAGTGACTTGCCAAGACCATCTAGCGTGGACGTGCAGAGGCCCAGACGCAGACATGGGGCAGGTGGACCGAGGCCTGTCCTGCTCTTCCCACTAGGCTGCTGGGCCAAGGTGAATGACCAGGCGTGACAGGAAGGCCCAGCAGGATCGAGGGTAGCCAATGATTTGCCACGAGGGAGTCCTTTGTGGCCTCATAGGAATGTTTCAGTGGGACGATGGGGGCAGAAAGCAGATGGCAGAGGAGCACAGAGCAGGTGGGGAGGGGGAGGAGGGCCGAAGGGTAAAGAAGGTGCCTGGACGGGAACCGGCTCTGTCACTCATTAGCTGAATGACAGCAAAACAAGCACCCCCACTGAAAGATGGGGTGATACGACGAAGCTCCCTGTGTTCTGTGAGAATTAAATAGGACATGTCAGTGTTAGCTGGTGGCTGGCATGTGGGGTGCAGTCGACTCCGGTTAAAAGTGAGGACACCGAGGCCCAGAGATGCCAAGTGATCCCCCAAGGCCACACAGGAGCCCAGACTGACCCCAAGGCCCTTGACAGCTGGGCCAGGGTTCTCTTGATTGATCGCCCTTTCTCACAGGACAGGGACTCAAGTCCCGGTGTGGCCGGTGTCCCTGGCGGAGGTCCCTGCCTCGAGGGACCAGTTCTGGGGCAGGAGTGGCAGGGGTCAGGGGCCAGGCCTGCGGCCCAGAGCGCTGCACTCGTGAGGGAAGACGGCCAGTCCTTTGCCCGGGGTTTGTTTTCAGTTGGGTTCCATGACAGACAGGGAAGAGGTCCTGACGGGAAGAATGCTTTTTCTTCCCCCGCGTTTGAAGCCGGGTACTCATGATGTGTATGATTTTAAATGTAACAACCAGAGTTTCAAAATACACAAAATTTCAGTCAAAATAGCCTCCCCAGCATAAGCTCCACCACCTCGGCGGCTGCTCCTGTCACAGCTAACGCCCCATAAATAACCAGAATCTTATCTGGGTGAGTGAACAGTAAGGGCGACGGAAGGCACATTGCAGCCCAAGGCGCTCGCGGGCAGCGTGCCTGGGCCTCCGACTGGCGTCTGCTAGACAGAGCAGGGGACGCCGCCGGAAACCACGCCGCTTTGTGTGATGCACAGGCAGACACACCGCTGTGGACACACGCACAACCCACTCCCGCGTGACACAGGACCTGCCCCTTCCCAGACAGACACAGCCGGGTCCGGGGCGGGGACAGCGGGCTACGGGGGCGCTGGGCCACCACACAGGGACACCTGTTAAAGGTCTTCAGGCCACTCTGAGGCAGCGGATGCCTCAGAAAGCAGGCCTTGGAGACGGTCCTGCTTGCCTTGAGGTTACGACCTCGAAACTTCCTAGCTGTTTTATTCTGGTCGATGGACAGCTGACACTTGAACCACATGGGGGTCAGGGCGCCGACCGCCGGGGCAGCTGAAAACCCGCAGGCCTGGTGACCCTCTGCACCGGGAACCCCCACTGCGCTGGGAAACAGAGCTGCGCCACGAACATTGCGGGTACGAACTGCGAGGGGCCCACGGCGCTCCGACGTGGGACCCGAGCCCGAAGCCGTGACCCCTGGTGGCCCCGGGCCAGACCGCTGCCTCAGGACGCGGTGTCTCGGGGCCACCTGGCAGGAGTCTCCCCTGCTGTCGGGACCCACCTCCCCTTGGGCCAGCTCCCTGTCTCTTTTCCTTTGTTCTGAGGCCCAGAGCTGAAAAGGCCACGTGCAGATGGAAGGTGAAACGTTCTCGGCCCAGGCTGAGAACCTTCCCCTGCCGAGCAGTGTTCTCCCAGGGGCTTGGCCTCCTTGGCCTCCGAATACCCAAGCCCCTCTCCCGCGGGTGTCCTGGGCGTCTACCCGAGGGGTTAGCAAGCAACAGATCAGTTGATCTAAACCCCCGGAACTCCCTGCAGTGAAGGCTAAGTCCCCCTGCTCCCAGGCTGGACCACCCAGCAGGACACGCAGATGCAGCTCTCACTGCCATTAAGGTGAGACCGCGGCCTCACCAGTGAGCCTGCATGCCTGCCAGGAGGACCACTGAGGAAGAGGCCTCGGGACCTTCTCCCAGCTTCGTCGCTAAACTCAGAGAGGCGCATCCCAGGCAGGCAAAAGCCATTCTAACACGGGCTCCTGTTAATGGCTTTCTTTTTCAGGACAGAATTGAAAATTTTGTTTTGTCTTATTTATGTATCGTCAAGTCTATCGATGCTTTACATTTCATGGCTTTAAGGTCATGCTTAGGAAAGCCTCCTGCATCCTAGCATTTAAAAGATATTCAAGGAGATTTTTTTGAGTCTGCTATCGCTTTCGCCCCATCTAGATTTTATTTTGGTGTATGGCAGGATGTGGAGAATGTACCTGTTTCTTCCAAGGAGCTGTCCAGTTACCAAGATGGTCACCAAGCAATAACTCTTTACCCCGAGGACTCGAAACGCACGTCCAGAACGTTCCTTCACCTGACCTGCAGGCTATGTTTAAAGAGCGGGTGGTGACGATGGCGGAGGCCGACATTAATGGAGTCCACCAAATACGTTAAAACAGCATTTGAGCAAATACTAGTCACGCGGGTTATCAACGGATTTCAATATATACATGAAAGAAACGACAGGCGGAAGCGACACCATTCGGACTTGAATGACTGTTCCTGACAGTTACGTGGCGCCTAACGTGTGTCCGGTGCTGTTCCAAGCACTTGACAGGCCTGTGACTGGCTGACTTCAGCAACGTGAGGGAGCAGGCACGGGACGGCCACCCGCCAGGGCAGCAGGCCCGGGGTGCTGGGGTGGCGTGTCCGGGGACTCTTGGAATCTCTGACAAAGTGCATTTAAAAGTAAGAGGTAACGAGTGAAAAAAGCTTAAAAAAAAAATCACATTTGTTTAATCTCCTTTTACACACACAAACATCCCTATGTGTCGACACGCAGAGAAAGTCCGAAGCACGTAAAAAATGTGAATTGAGGTTAACTTGGATTGTGGGCTTACGGGTGATCTTTAAGCTTTTTTACTTCCTGAATTTTAAACGGAACGTGTATTTTCTATAATAAGAAATAAAAACTACATTCACGTTAGGGAAAAAGGGCAGAACTTTGTCTTATGCTGAAATATTAAAGTATTTTAATTTTTACCTGTCAAAATCTTCTCTGCTCTCAGTTGGTTTGATTGTGTGAAGGATGTTTCTCTGTGGTGTAATTAAGACAGAGGACTGGTAAAGGGTATTTCCTTCTCTGGTCTGAAAGATTCTGCTTATAAACAAAGGACCCAGAGCCACGGT